TCACCATGTTGGCCAGGATGGTCTTGATCTCTTGACCTCGTGATCCACCCACCTTGGCTGCCCAAAGTGCTGGGATTACAGGCATGAGCCACCACACCCAGCTGTTTAGTGCTTCTTTCAGGAGCTCTAGTGAGGCAGGCCTGATGGTGATAAAATCTCTCAGCAATTGCTTCTCTATAAAGGATTTTATTTCTCCTTTGGTTATGGAGCTTAATTTGGCTGGATATGAAATTCTAGGTTGAAAGATCTTTTTCTTTAGGATGTTGAATATTGGCTCCTACTCTCTTCTGGTTTGTAGAGTTTCTGCCAAGAGATCCACTGTGAATCTGATGGGCTTCCTTTTGTGAGTAACCCGACCTTTCTCTCTGGCTGTACTTAGCACTTTTTTGGTTCATTTCGACCCTGGTGAATCTGATGATTATATGCTTTGGAGTGGTTCTTATTGAGAAATATCTTTGTGGTGTTCTCTGTATTTCCTGGACTTGAAAGTTGACCTGCCTTGCTAGGTTGGGGAAGTTCTCCTGAATAATATGCTGAAGATTGTTTTCCAGCTTGGATTCTTTCTCCTCATCACATTCAGGTACACCTATCAAATGTAGATTAGATATTTTCAGATAATCCCATATTTCTTGGAGGCTTTGTTTATTTCTTTTTACTCTTTTCCCTCTTATCTTTCCTTCCTGTTTTATTTCATTGAGTTGATCTTCAATCTCTGATATCCTTTCTTCGGCTTGGTTGATTTGGCTGTTGAAACTTGTGTATGCTTCACCAAGTTTTCATGGTGTGTTTTTCAGCTCCATCAAGTCATTTATATTCTTCTCTAATCTGGTTATTCTAGTTGTCATTATTTCTAACTTTTTTTTTACAGGTTCTTAATTTCTTTGCATTAGGTTAGAACATGTTCTTTTAGATCAGAGAAGTTTGTTATTACCTGCTTTCTGAAGCCTGCTTCTGTCAATTCATCAGAATCATTCTCAATCCAGCTTTGTTCTCTTGCTGGTGAGGAGTTGTGATCACTTGTAGAAAGAGAGGTGTTCTGGTTCTTGGAGTTTTCATCCATTTTGTGCTGGTTCCTTTCCATCTTCATGGATTTATCTATCTGTGGTCTTTGTAGTTGGTGACTTTCATATGGGGTCTCTGAGTGGACATCCTTTTTGTTGATGTTGAAGCTATTTCTTTCTGCTTGTTACTTTTCCATCTAACAGTCAGGCCCCTCTTCTGCAGGACTGCTGGAGGTCCTCTCCAGACCCTGCTTGCCTAAGAATTACCCACAGGGGCTGCAAAACAGTAAGGATTGCTGCCCATTTCTTCTTCTGTTATCTTAGTCCCAGAACGGTACCCACTAGATGTCAGCCAGAGCTCTCCTTTATGAGGTGCGTCTTTGGATATACGGGGGTCAGGGAGCCACTTGAGGAGACAGTCTGTCCCTTATCAGAGCTCAAATGCTGTGCTGAGAGCTCCATTGTTCTATTCAGAGCTGCTGGGCAGGTACATTTAATTCTGCTGCAGCAGAACTCATAACCACCTCTTTTCCCAGGTGCTTTGTCCTGGGAAGCTGGGGCTTTATTTATAAATTCCTGATGTGCTGCTGCCTTTTTTCAGAAATGCCCTGCCCCACATGGAGGTAGTCTAGTCACAGTCTGCCAGCAGAGGCATTGCTTAGCTGCTGAAGTCTCTGCCCACCTGGTGTGTACACTTCCTTGCAGTATTGCTTATAGAGGTACATTTAGAACTGCCTTGGTAATGGCGGACTGCCTCAGTAATGGTGGACTTCCTTGGTAATGGCAGTCTGCATCAGAGATGGCAGACTGCCTCGGTTGTTGTGGACTGCCTCAGTGATGGTGGACACCCTTCCCCGCACATAGCTGGATCATCCTGTGTCCAGCTGTGCTTGCTTTGAAACTCTCACTCCAGAGCATTTCAGATTGCTGGTTTTTGTGGGGATGGGACGTGCCAAGCCAGATCACCAGGCCCACTGCTTTCAGTCCCTCTTTTTCAGTTGAATGGGTGCCTCTCTCCCAGGTGTTCCAGGTGCCATTTGAAATGGCTGCCCAGATTTGTGTGAGTTTTCATGTGGAAACCCATGGTGCCAGCTGAAACAGCTGTGCTGGAAACTCTTGGTGCTTTTTGGACTGGGAATCTCCTGTTCTGTGAGCAGTAAAAACTGTGGGGGAAGCCAAGTATCTGAACTGCCATGGTGGAGTGGATGAAAAAGCACCCAATGGACTCTGTTGGGTAGGGATGGGGGTCCTCCGGATATTGCACTTCCTGGGTGAGGCAGTGCCCTGCCTCTCCTTGGCTTGACCTTCTTGGGCTACACCCACTGTGCAACCAGTCCCATTGAGATGCACCTGGTATCTCATTTGGAATTGCAGTGATCAGTCACCCCTGTGTTGCTCTTGCTGGGAACTGCACTCCAGAGCTGTTCTTATTTGGTAATCTTGAATCTCTCCCGAGGTGTTTTTTTTTTTTTTCTTTTTTTCTTTTTTTGCATGTGCTAATGGTGTTAGAGTGTGAAACTACTAGTCCTTTCAGGCTTTTCCTATGAATTTGAAACATCCACAGTGAACTCCCTTATTTGCTGTCCTGTGGTGTTGACAGGGAGAGAAGAACAGCAAGGACTGTTGAATGCCTGGATTCACCTCCACTATCCCCAGGGGAAATCCACTAAAACCTGTGTCCTGTGCTGTGGGCTGTGAACAAGTCAAAATGAACCAAAGATAACAAAGAATTCCCAGGAAACTCCATCCAGATCCTTTCTCCATCCAGAAATACTTAATCTGCAGGGTAAGTACAATGGATGAGAAGCTCAGGACACTAATGAGAAAACTTCGTGGTTGGGAAAGGAAACTCTAACCCTGGGGGAAGAGGAAAGGGCAGGAAAAGTTGGAAGCTCACCCCAGAGCCATGATTACTACTTACTAGTAAGAAGGACACTTATTGGAAAGGTTGGAGAATGTCCCCATGTGTTCAGACCCCTTCACCACATGGTCAACTAGGTCTGCAGAGTAATGATCTAGCTGCATCAGCTCTTCTGGCCTCTGTCTTGTGATAGCTCTTTGTAGATTTGCTTTCTCCTCTCTCATGATTTATTTGTTCTCTCAACTCCTAGCTCAATTCTCCTTTTAATTCTTAGTTTATTGAAGAGATTCTCATTTAGCTTAGAACATTAAAACCTTTAAAGATATTTTCATCTTAAACCCATCAAATCTAATCATCTCTCTTCAGGAGTGCCCATCTCCGTTTGTTTCCTCCTTTCCTTTGGGGTATGGCCCTTGTTTCTACCTGAGTCCAGCTCTTACTTTCATGTGCATGAGTCTAGCCATCACACACCCAGAAACATCTTGTAGGAATGTACCCTACCGTCCATCTCCCCAGCCTTCATGTGCACAGTGGCTGTGCCTTCAGCTGTGATATGTGATTAGGGATTTCCATTTTAAAAGTGTCTTTCATTATTCTTCAAAATAAAGTTCTTGGACCTTAAATACCTTCAATGTTCAGTATTCTTCTCTGTCCCTTTGTTGTTAATATTGTTTCATTCCATTAAAATTCACTGGGAACATCAGAAGTGACCTGCCTACCCATTGCATTATCTGACTTCTGTCTAACTGACCACCCAGGTGCTTGTAGTTGATGGGGCCATCTGGCCCTTTATCAATAAAAGGTTTGTAATTTATCTAGGGAACGACTGAGATCAGCAGGTGCCTGAGCTCCTAAGAACACAGGTGTGGCCTGCAGCAGAGTCTGTGTTACTGAAATCACATCTGTGTATAATTCGTGGCCTCAGCCAACAAGCTGCTGCCAGCTTCTGGTCATTCCTGGGTAGCCCGATGGGGGTTGTCCACAGAAGGACAGATGCAGGATATGGATATTAGAAAGTGATGTGGTGTTGGGGGCATTGACAGCCAAATTTCATTGAAGGTCTCTTCTGCCCTTGGTACTTGGGAATGTCTGGGAAGAAGGGAACAAAACTCAGACCCCATGTAGCTCCTCATTAAGTTAGAGATTCAGTGCAATTTTAGAAAGTTGAAGAAATAAACTAAACTTTCAGGGATCATGTCTATAATTCATTTGAGGAAGCTGAAGAAAAACAGTGACTGTGGGTGATGTTGGTGTGGTTTTCTGTGACATACTTATGAGACAGCAGATGGTAGGTGGTCAGCCTCTATCCAGCTGCTACTCATTATCCATTTGTTACTTCCAAATAAAAGATAAAAGACATCTTGTGTGGCACAGACACCAGGGATCTTTTCAGAGACTTTGACCAAAAATGGCCAACAGGGCCATGATGTAATTTTATATGAAAGCTACTATTTTTGCAGACCTCATGTGGAAATATGAGAGCTGTGCCTAGCCTCAGAGCGCTACTTCTCCTTCCAGGAGACAGAGCTAACAGAGTTATGTGGGATTAGTCTGTGTGGGTCTTCATAAGAAAACAACATTTGTGGGTGGTTTAAAGAACAAACACTGATTTTTATCACAATTCTGGAGTCTGAATGTTGAAGATCAAGGTGCTGTCAGGGTTGGTTCTTGGTGAGGCTTCTTCCTGGCTTGCACAGGGCCACCTTCTAGTGCACCATGTCTCCACATGGCCCTTCTCTGCATGCACATGAGAAGTGAGAGATCTTTGGTGTTTCTTCGTCTTCTTACAAAGACAACAGGTCTATTGCATTAGGTTCTCAAACTTACGACCACATTCATTCTTAATTATATCCTTAAAATTCCACTCTTCAATATAGATCCATCGGATTTAAGGTTTCAGCATATGAATTTCAAAGAGGGCACAATTCAGTTGATGACACAAATCAAGAGATGCTGAGAAGCATTAGTATTTTTTTTAATCAATAAGGTATAATGGATGATGCAGTAACATGTAGGAAAGTTCCTGGTAATTGTTGAAACTTCAACCTTAAGATAAAAATTTGTCTTCCTCCTTTCTTTGCTGGCACAAGGAAATGAGGAAGCAGAATCACAGATATTAAAAAAGGAGCCCTGGACACAACTCAGGTGCTGGCGGGGAGGGAGCCCACTGAGCCCGTGAGGAAGCCCCGCCCTCCCTGCACCTGCTCCAGACCCGCCTCGGGCTCTGCGGGTCCCGCGCGCCCCCTGCTGGTCCTGAGCAGAACCTGCGCCCGCCCCGCCGCCCTGAAGTGAGGTTTGTGTCTGGGCTCACACTCACCTCCACTCACTGTGTCTCGCACAGTAATACACGGCCGTGTCCGCGGCGGTCACAGAGCTCAGCCTCAGGGAGAACTGGCTCTTGGACGTGTCTACTGATAGGGTGACTCGACTCTTGAGGGATGGGTCGTAGTTGCTGCTCCCACTATGATAGATGCTCCCAATCCACTCCAGCCCCTTCCCTGGAGGCTGGCGGATCCAGCTCCACCAGTAATCACTGCTGATGGAGGAACCAGAGACAGTGCAGGTGAGGGACAGGGTCTCCGAAGGCTTCACCAGTCCTGGGCCCGACTCCTGCAGCTGCACCTGGGACAGGACCCCTGTGAACAGAGAGACACACAGTGAGCCCTGGGCTCAGAGGCAGCCCCCATATCTTCCTATCTGCCCCCCTGAGACACTCACGTCTGGAAGCTGCCACCAGGAGGAGGAAGAACCACAGGTGTTTCATGCTCTTGCACGTGAGGCCCATGACTCTCAGAAAGCATTTCCCATGTGAGCAGGACCCTGAATTTAAGGAAACGTGTGGTGGTTTCCTGTGGGTGCCTAAGTGAGGATTTGCATGTGGGTGGTGCCTTTGTATGGAGCGGTTAAAAAGGATGAGGAGGCCCCAGCCTTTCAGGCTCTCCCTGGGAGGAGGATGCTGGCTGTGCCCTCTGAGAACCCAGTTGTCTTTCTGGGGCCTCCCCTCCCCTAGCCCAGAGTCCTCTTCTTCTAGGTAGGGAGATGTGCTGAAAGAGCTGATCTGGGAGATGAGTGTGATCATGGATCAAGGACAGATTTTGGAATAGGGTCAATACTGTTCTACCCTTAAAAATTCACATAAGAGAAACCTCACATTCAGGTCGTCTAAACTGTCATTTACCCATTCAGACACACTGAAACAGGAGCTGAATGTAATAATCACAATGAATTCAGACAAACCTGGATCCGTCTGGTATTTATTTTAGTTCAGAACACCCATCATGATTAGAGGGAAGCTCCCTGTCACCAGAAGTGGGTCATTTAAAAAAATCACCTGAGAGCTGCCCTCTGCAACCTTTTGAAGTTCAGGATTCTGTCTGAGATCTCAGGAGAAGGTGGTGGGACATACCTCCAACCTTCTCAATGTGTGACCCTGAAGATGTGGCCAGACCTCTAAACGCTTCTGAGTTAAAATACGTAGATTGGTGATTGCAGTGACAGCTTCAGATGAAAACTCCATTAACAGGTCAGCTCTGCAGGATAGTCTCCAAGATCTGTGCAACTGCCATTCCTGGGGACCAGAGATGACCTCTGTGAGCCCTCCCTTCTGAGAGCACAAGAAACTCTGGTTCTTCCCTGACAGATCATGCCTGCAGAACATGGCTGGACAATGACACTCAAGCCCAGAGTCCTTACACACATATTTATCAATTCTGACCCATCTGTCACTGAAAGACTTTCTCCTCCACTGAATTGCATAAACCTACCCTAGGGTGTGTCGTATTGCAACTTGGGTATTTGACATTAGTTAGGTGAAATGTCAAAATCAGTATATATTAATTTATCTTTCTTTTTTCTGTTACAGACAAATACTTGTTCTGTTAATAAATAACCTATCTCCATGGATGAAGATAACAGGAGAGTCATCAGAAGTTGGGTGTGTCATAAACTCAGGACAAACCTGGGTTCTCTTCCTGGGACCTGAACAAGTGAACTGACCTTCTGTGAGATAACAGAGGGGAAGAGACAGACCAGGTGAGCTCCTTACCTACCAGGTGGTCTCTGGGCCTTTTGTTTGAACAGATCCAGAAAGACCTTCATCCCCTGGCTCCTTTCTCATCCTCACGAGAATTATGAACTTTGAGGTAAATTGAGATAAATTTTTATTTACAGAGAATAATTCATAGGCTTGTAGACATTTATGTGGGTATGTACAGGGATGCTAGGATAGGCTCATACACAGAACAGAAAAAAATTATGGTTCGTGGAGAGAAAACCAAAGAGCTTCTGAATAGGTAGGTACTGTTTACCACAAATGTGTCAGGTCACTAGATCATGTTATAATGCTGGAGGTAAAACTTCCCAACATTGCCATAGAGACAAAATGCAAAAAAAGTAAAGATTCAAGTGAGATTCCTTTGAAAATCACCAGTAATGAACAGGCCAAAAGAAATGAACCATTATGGAAAGCGTGGTAATTAAATCAAAACACAATAAATTCTATTCTGTTCCCTGAGCAAGATAAACTCTTACCTGCTTTACAACCTTTTCAGTTCTCTGCTCTACGTGCTCTTCTCTAGGCCTGTAGCAAGCTAAACTGGTACTTCAGAGAGGCTTCTGCCCACATTGTCAAGAGCAGCAGAATTCAGTTCTCTGCTTTCTGTCACATTACGTTCTTTCTATCATATCACTATTGCAGTTTGTAATTATTGATTAATTAATATGTTATTTTCTTTTACTAACTTATTATCATCTTCCACCCATAAGTTCCATGAAGGCAAGAATCATACTTGTTACCATGGTTTATTTTACATCCATTCACTAAGTGAAATGGATGAATGTATCACTGTATGCCACAGTTTGACATGCATTCAATTATGCTTAAAATGATTTGTCAAACATAATTATTTCCCTAGTTGTCATAGTGTGGCTTTAGTCATTTAAAACTACTGTTGTTACCACTACAACTATTATTGCCTTTTAAATATTCTGTAATAAAATAACTGATATCTCCTAACAGGTATTTGGAAACAAGAGCATGGTTCTTTGACTGGGCAGACCTGGTGGGAAGTACCAGAGTGTTGGTTGTATCTTCTACTGTCAGAGTTAGGACTGTGTCAATAGCATTTTAAGAGTTAGTAATAATGATTGCCTTGAAAGTTGATTCATTCAGAAAGTTGAGACAACCTACATTCACTTAGGAGAAATATATAGCTTCCGTGCATAGATCAGCACCTTCTCTGGGTTGTGTACTTTGTAATCATGCAGGTCTAAATTTTATGCCCAAAGCTCTGATAAAATAGCTAATCCAAATATCCTTTGCCTTTTATGGTCTTGGTCCATGAAGCATGATATTGCATGAGACAAGTATCACACAGAATTTTCACTTGTCTTGAGGTCTGGAAAGACCTAATGAAATTTTGCTTGGAGTACTATTTACTCAAGCATATTGGATTCATCCAGAAACTTACCTCTGAAATCCTAGAAATAACTACTTTGACATTAAGTTTTTCCTTCTATTTTGTATAATAGTGACTTGTTATACATAGGTGTGGAAATTATTTAAAATTGAACCTGTGAAGGATAAAATTTTACATTAGACTTTTCGAAATGTGAACTTTCCTCAAATTTATGCAATGAAAGATAATTCAAGAGAGTCTGTCTCCCAGGAAACTTTCTTAGAAAATAATTTTAAGTTAACCAATGGAGTGCTTGTATTTTCTCTTATTAAAGATTCTTCAGAATTAATTTTCACGAGTCATTTTTTTAACCTTTACACCATTCAGTGAAACCTTGAGTCTGATAAATGTGTTAAACAGCTCAGACTAGCAGATATTAATGTGGAAATTGACACCCATCAGCCCCAGTTCCTACATTTATGTCTGTGTGCCTTTGGCCAAGTTATTGAGCCTTTCTGAGGCTCTAGTTTTTCTACTGTAAAATAAGAATACTGTACTAATACTGTTATGCCATATAATTCTCAAAGATTAATGGAGATAAGCAAAGGTGTTAACCAGTGGCTTGGCACTACATGTCCAATCCTGCAGCCAGCAGCAGCTCCTGCTGCCCACATTCCCCTGGCCAGGTTCTCTTGCCACTGGCACCTGAGGGCGTGGCATGAGGGCCCATGGGTCCCTTTGAGAAGGCAGGCTTGTGTGAATGTTAACACAATGTGTACAAACTGCGTTAGTTTAATAAGGCTACTTCCGTCATACACTGGTAACCTGTTTAACACCTGGAACGATTTGATGTTGTAAACAGGACTTGTTCATCCTTTGTATACACGATATCCATAGATAAGTAAAACATATGCACAGACAGAAGAGGTGATGTTTAATCTCACCTCCCTGTGAGCACACAGGCCTAGAATTCTGCACTTTCTCCTCTTCTCCCCTGAACCAGAGCACAAACACAGTGGGCAAGACTCAACCAGGGATTTGGACATTACTCACCACCACAAACAATTTCAAAAAAGTATTTACAAAATATAGTATTTTACTACCTGTAATTTTAAAATTTATTAGACACTTAGAACACCTAGAAAGACTAGAAATTTCAAAATAATACTTGGCATTGCCAATGATGTACACTAGTGAGGAATAAAATGGAATCAACAAAACAATGGCAATTATATGAAAATGTCTTCTGAATATGAGCAGCCCGGCATGGAACCCTGTTCCCTTCCTGCCCAGGTCTCCCCTCCATGTCCTCTCACCCACTGGACAAAGGTCGCTGTGTGGATCCTGTGCTCCTTTCAGGGCTGTTCTAATAACTCCATTTCAAAATGTCATTTCCACGAGACAGGCCTTTGCTATGATTTTTGTAAAAGCAGATGTTAACTTACAAGATGTTTAATTTTCAGACTCTATCATACCTTGGAACCTTCTTACATCTAGAGGGGACAGATGCAGCAAATGTTTTCTTTTAAAAGATGGGAAAATGGGCCGGGCACGGTGGCTCAAGCCTGTAATCGCAGCACTTTGGGAGGCCGAGGCGGGTGGATCACGAGGTCGAGAGATCGACACCAGCCTGGTCAACATGGTGAAAGCCCGTCTCTACTAAAAATACAAAAAATTAGCTGGGCATGGTGGCGCATGCCTGTAATCCCAGATACTCAGGAGGCTGAGGCAGGAGAATTGCCTGAACCCAGGAGGCAGAGGTTGCGGTGAGCCAAGATCCCGCCATTGCACTCCAGCCTGGGTAACAAGAGTGAAACTCCGTCTCAAAAAAAAAAAAAAAAAAAAGATGGGGAAGTGATGAGTTCATGTTCAAGAACACGTGCACACAGGGAGGGGAGCATCACACACTGCGGTCAGTGGGGGGCGGGGTTGGGGGGCTGGTGAGAAGCAGGGGGGCTGGGGAGGGTGGGGAGGGATGATGAGAGGAGAAACACCGGATGTAGGTGACCGGGGATGACGGCAGAAAACCGCCTTGTTACGTGTGCACCTATGCAGCAATCCTGCATGAGCTGCACACGTACCCCAGAACCTAACGTACAATCAAAAAACAAACAAACAAACAAAAACATGGGAAGGCCGGGAGCGGCTTTTTCGTGTGTCATGCACAGCCTTCTAGAAATGGCCGGTAGAGGGTGGAGGGCACGTCCGGTGGGACAAACGTGGAAGGTTCTTCTCCGTTTCTCCTCACCCACGTCAAGGTCTAGCAGAAGAAGCATCACTGCCCGGTGGTCGCTACCCGTTCTCCCGTCGTCCTCCAGGATTCTGCTCGCCTTTCTGTCCCTAAGGCCTTTGTCCCTTGTCAGGACTGGGTGGGTCTGTTTCAGTTGGGACAGGACTCACCCCAGGATCAGGAGCTTCAGGGCTGCATGGCCTGAGGGAGGACGGAGCAGCATCCCAGATCCCCCTTCCCAGCGGCTCCCGAGCCCCTGACCGCCCAGGTCCCATCTGTCGCCACGCCTCCCCGATAGCGCACGTCCCATCAGCCCCTGCGCCTCCCTGATAGTGCACGTCCCATCAGCCCCTGCGCCTCCCTGATAGTGCATGTCCCATCAGCCCCTGCGCCTCCCTGATAGTGCACGTCCCATCAGCCCCTGCGACTCCCCGGGCCGCCACTGTCCCGGCGGCCTCCGCGTGCCCCCAGACAGCCCATGTCCCTCTGGCCCCCACACATCCCAGGGTAGCCAGCATCCCATCAGCCCCTGCCTACCCGATAGTGCTGGTCCCATCAGGCCCTGTGCCTCCCCGGACCGCCAGTGTCCCGCTGGCCTCTGCACGTCCCATGGCTGCTGGCATCCCATCAGCCCCCGCACCTTCCCGGACAGTGCACGTCCCCTCAGCCCCTGTGCCTCCTCAGACTGCCCACGTCTCTCCGTCCCCACACGTCCCAGCACCGCCGGCATCCCGTCAGCCCCCGCGCCTCCCCGGACCACCCACGTCCTGCCAGACATGCGTCCCTGTGGCGGCTGCCCCCGTGCTTCCCGTCCTGCCCCGCCGGCCGGTCCAAAGGCCTGTGCCCATGTAGATCGGCGGTGACTTCCTTTAAGTTGTGGAGACTTTGGCCTGGAGACCCGGAGGCCACGGTGTCCAGCTGAGAGAGGCGGCGCCGCCATGAGGTCCCCGAGGTTGGCAGGGAGGTTCCCGCTCCTTTGAGGCCACTGCTCGCAGACGACCCCAGCTCACCTTCTGCTCCCCCTTGTAAGACTGCCTTGCTTCCACTTTGTTTTCTGCCATGATTGTATGTTTCCTGAGGTGTTCCAAGCCATGCAGAACTCATTGGTGTGGAGATCACTGATGAAACGTTTGACTTACAACTTGGCTTACGTCACGACCTCCACAGGTTTCAGAAATAGTTTCTATTAACATATGTAATATTTTATAAATTTTTCTTTCATAGCTTATTTTTGCTCTCTAGGCAGCACCCTAGGATGTTTTCAGAATTCTCCCCAATCCTCTTTGAGTTCCTGGTGCAGTTCCTGGAAGAAAAGCCTGCATGGGAAAGTGGCCCTTCTCATGTGCAGCCCCTGAGGCTGTCACATCACGTGGGGCACCACTGCCCTTCAGTCACTTGGTCAACATTTCCGAGTTAACCTTCCTGAAACATATGGCATTTGACAGTGTCTTCCCTATATTTTTTAAATACTTAAGTTCTGTTTGTCCCTGTGGACACCTGTCACATTCTGGATTACAGTTTTTGACTGTGTCGTAATTGATCATTAATGGAAGGTTTGTGTGCATCTTGTCATCTTCTAGAGTGTACTTACCATTGGGTTGACATCATCAAGCAAGCAAGTGGACTCGCTCAGCTGGAGAACAGCAGGCATTTCTATAGCCAGTGACCCCAGTGGGGCTCTCACTCTCCAAGACCTATCAGGCTCATGCTTCTGGCTAGTGTGCCACCAGCAAGAGTGACCAGTGCCCACCCATGAGAGACTTTCTTCTATGTCCCTCCCGCTTTGTAAATGGAAGCTTTTGCTTCTGCTTGGATGTCGTGCTTGTGTTTTCATTTTCTGTGCAAGGGGCCTTGTACAGAAACACCCCCAGAGCTTACAGTGAATCTAATGAAAGCGTAGAGAATCATACATGATGTTTCTCATAACCAGGGTCTCCACTTCTCATTGAAGGACATTCCTGATGGGATTCACCAGAAGTTGCATTCTTTCCATAGACATGGATCTACCTCTAAACACTTAGAGACCTTATCCTCTGCAAAGGGACACAGGAAATCAGGGGTTACAGAACCTGTCTGAGAATATACATTTTATGAATCCCCTAAAAAGAGTCCAAATAGGAATACCCCCACTCACTTTTCCTCTTAACTGCCATCATTACCAGGCACACACTTGAAGAACCTGTGGTGCTTTAAGATAATTTAGGCTTGGTATGCCAAGGGACCACCAAAAAAAACAAAAACAAAACAAAACAAAACAACAAAAAAAAACAATACATTCATACAAGTTCATTCGTTGTAACATATTTATGACGCTTGGGAAGGATGTTGATAATGGGCAAGGCGGTGCATATGTGAGGCAGGGGTGCAGAGTAACTGTCTACACCTTCTGTTCAATTTTGTTGTGGTCTTAAAACTACTTTTTAATACATTTTTATGTAAAAGGAGTAACAGAGATATTTTGGAATACATTTGGGGCAGTTTTTAGAAATCATATTTAGACTTAGCCATGTTACCAGCAATCTTGCTCCAAATTATTTATCTATTTGATTTTAAAACTTTAGGTCTGCACAAAGCCTCCATGGGAATATTTGCATCAGCCTGATTGATTGCTGCCCTTACCGTCCTGTGAATTTTGCATATGAGGTATCCATTGAAAGAAATAGTTCTATAGACTGCATACATATTTCTCAAGTGTTTAGCCCATTTTCTAAACAACTTTAAACATTGTAAGCCCTGTAATCTCCTCAAAAGTATTGGGATTCAGATTATGCAGAATTCTTTTGACATAAAAATGAGGGTGGTAAATTTTATAATCTACATCTTGGAGCATAAACCAAAAATACAATCAAAGATCGTCTAATCTTACATAAATGCTGGGAAGATGGCCGCCTAAGAACAGCTTAGGACTTCAGCTCCCAGTGAAAGTGCAGAGGGTGAGTGGACGCCGCATTTCCAGATGAACTCTTATTGCCCACAGACCAGGAGATACCCAGGCAGAGGGGTCGCCAGCATCGCAGTCCCAGCCAGTGCGGCTGTTTTGGCCCCTGCGGGGCTGATTCTGCCCAGCGCGGCTGCTGTGACCATGCCCTGTTGCTGCGGTTCTCCCTACAAAAGCCACTGGTCTGGGAGCCCTCTTAGCTGGCGATCAGAGCCCTGAGATGGCAGAGTTGCCCATTCATCTGAAATAGCGAGTCAGGCCAGCAGATTCCTAGGCAAAAAATCCGCCAGGAGCTGGCGCCGCAGTTCGAGCCGACTCAGTGAGTCGCAGCACGGGAGATCTCGGCGCCTTTTCAACAAGCGACCGGAACGTGGGGTCGTTCAACTTAAAAGAAAAGACTCTGAGTCAGGGAGCCAGGTGATCAGGCTCGGTTGGTTCCAGCCCCCCACACCCAACAACAATGAAAACAAAAACAGTAATTGGAAACCCTCTGGGTTGAGCCCTTCAAACCAAGAACAGCTGAACCAGGATGGTCCGGCTCGGTGGGGGAGGGGCTTCCGCCATTACTGAGACTCTCCACCACTACGGAGGCAGGCCGCCATTGCCGAGACAACCCGCCTTTGCCGAAGCAACCTGCCACAACAGAGAGAGTCCGCCATAACAGAGGCGGGGCCACCATTGCTGAGACAGTTCTAACTATGCCCATATAAACAGGACTGCAGGGAAGAGCTCAGGGCAGCTGGGTGGAGCCCACAGCAGCTTAGCAAAGCCCCTGCGGGCAGGCAGTGGCTAGGCATGCTGCTAGCTGGGTGGGTCAGACATGAAAGAAAAATCAAAAAAGGCAGTAGTGCAACGGAAACTCATACAGCTCCAACTCCCTGGGACAGAGCACCTGGGAACAAAAGGTGCTTTATGAGTTCAGCTGCAGCAGACCTAAACATACCTCCCAGCAGCTCTGAATGAACAACGGAGCTCACAACTCAGGACTTAAGCCCCAATAAAAGATAGACTGTCTCCTCAAGTAGCTCCCTGACCCCCATAGATCCAAAGACTCACCTCATAAAGGAGAGAATGGACTGACAGTAGGCGAGCATCCTTCTGGGACAAAGATAGCAGAAGAGGAAACTGGCAGCAACCCTTACTGTTCTGCAGCTGCTGCAGGTGATCCACAGGCAAGCAGGGCCTGGAGAGGACCTCAGCAGCCCTACAGCAGAGGGGCCAGACTGTTAGAAGGAAAGCTTAAAAAAAAAAAAAAAAAAAAGAAGTAACTTCAGCATCCACGAACTAGAAGCTCACTCAGAGACCCAATCTGAAAGACAGTAATTACAAAGACAACAGGTGGATAAACCCACAAAAATGGGAAGAAACCAGCGCAAAAAGGATGAAAACTCCGAAACCAGAACACCTCTCCTCCTAAAAGGGATCACAACTCCTCACCAGCAAGGGAACCAGACCGGATGGAGAAGGAGGGTGATGAAATGACAGAATCAGACTTCAGAAGGTGGGTAGTAAGAAACTACAGTGAGCTAAAAGAACATGTTCTAACCCAACGCAAAGAAAATCGGAACCTTGAAAAAAGATTGGATGAAATGCTAACGAGAATGGACAGCATAGAGAGGAATATAAGTGAATTGATGGAGCTGAAAAACACAACACGAGAACTTCGTGAAGCATGCACAAGCTTCAACAGCCGAATTGACCAAGCAGAAGAAAGGATATCAGAGGTCGAAGATCAACTCAATGAAATAAAAAGAGAAGGCAAGAACAAAGAAAAAAGCTCAAAAAGGAATGAACAAAATTTTCAAGAAATGTGGGACTATGTGAAAAGACCTAATCTACATCTGATAGGTGTACCTGAATGTGATGAAGAGAATGAATCCAAGCTGGAAAATACTCTTCAGGATATTATCCAGGAAAACTTCCCCAACCTAGCAAGGCAGATCAATATTCAAATCCAGGAAATACAGAGAACACCACAAAGATATTCCTCAAGAAGAGCAACCCCAAGGCACATAATCTTCAGATTCACCAGGGTTGAAATGAAAGAGAAAATGCTAAGGGCAGCCAGAGAGAAAGGTCGGGTTACCCACAAAGGGAAGCCTATTAGACTCACAGCAGATCTCTCAGCAGAAACCCTACAAGCCAGAAGAGATTGGGGGCCAATATTCAACATCCTTAAAGAAAAGAACTTTCAACCCGGAATCTCCTATCCAGCCAAACTAAGCTTCATAAGTGAAGGAAAAATAAAATCCTTTGTGAACAAGCAAGTTCTCAGAGATTTCATCACCACCAAACCTGCTCTACAAGAACTCCTGAAGAGGCTCTACACATATAAAGGAACAACCCGTACCAGCCACTCCAAAAACACACCAAATGGTAAAAGAGCATCAACACAATCAAGAATCTGCATCAACTAACCAACAAAACAGCCAGGTAGCATCAAAATGACAGTATCAAATTCACACATAACAGTACTATCCCTAAATGTAAATGGACTAAATAACCCAATCAAAAGACACAGACTGGCAAATTGGATAAAAAGCCAAAACCCATCAGTGTGCTGTATCCAGGAAACCCATCTTACATGCAAGGATACACAAAGGCTCAAAATAAAGGGATGGAGGAAGATCTACCAAGCAAATGCAGAGCAAAAAAAAGCAGGAGTTGCAATTCTCATCTCTGATAAAATAGACTTTAAAGCAACAAAGATCAAAAGAGACAAAGAAGGACATTACATAATGGTAAAAGGATCACTGCAACAAGAAGAGCTAACGATCCTAAATATATACGCACCCAATACAGGAGCACCCAGATACATAAGGCAAGTTCTTAAGGACTTACAAAGAGACTTAGACTCCCACACAATAATCGTGGGAGACTTTAACACCCCATTGTCAATATTAGACAGATCAACCAGACGGAAAATCAACAAGGATATCCAGGACCTGAACTCAGACCTCGAACAAGCAAACCTAATAGACGTTTACAGAACTCTCCACCCCAAATCCCCAGAGTATACATTCTTCTCAGCACCACATCATACCTACTCTAAAATTGACCACATAATTGGCAATAAATCACTCCTCAGCAAATGCAAAAGAACAGAAATCATAACAAACAGTCTCTCAGACCATAGGGCAATCGAGTTAGAACTCAGAATGCAGAAACTAACTCAGAACTGCACAGCTTCATGGAAACTGAGCAACTTGCTCTTGAATGTTGACTGGATAAACAATGAAATGAAGGCAGAAATAAAGATGTTCTTCGAAACCAATGAGAACGAAGACACAACATACCAGAATCTCTGGGACACATTTAAAGCAGTCTCTAGAGGAAAATATATAGCAATGAGTGCCCACATGAGAAGAAAGGAGAGATAGAAAATTGACACCCTATCATCAAAATTGAAAGAGCTAGAAGAGCAAGATCAAAAAAACTCAAAACCTCGGAGAAGACAGGAAATAACTAAGATCAGAGCAGAACTGAAGGAAATAGAGACACAAAAAACTCTTCAAAAAATCAATAAATCCAGGAGCTGGTTTTTTGAAAAGATCAATAAAATAGACACACCACTAGCCAGATTAATAAAAAAGAAAATAGAGAATAACCAAATTGATGCAATAAAAAACGATAAAGGGGATATCACCACAGATTCCACAGAAATCCAAACCATCATCAGAGATTATTACAAACAACTCTATGCACATAAACTAGTAAACCTGGAAGAAATGGATAAATTCCTGGACACTTGCATCCTCCCAAGCCTAAACCTGGAAGAAGCCGAAACCCTGAATAGACCAATAACATGGTCTGAAGTCGAGGCAGCAATAAAGAGCCTACCACCCAAAAAAAGCCCAGGTCCAGATGGGTTCACAGCTGAATTCTACCAGACATACAAAGAGGAGCTGATACCATTCCTTCTGAAACTATTCCAGACAATCCAAAAAGAGGGAATCGTTCCCAAATCATTTTATGAGAACAACATCATCCTGATACCAAAACCCGGCAGAGACTCAACAAGAAAATAAAATTTCAGGCCAATATCCATGATGAACATAGATGCAAAAATCTTCAATAAAATACTGGCAAACCTATTGCAACAGCATATCAAAAAGCTCATCCACCATGATCAAGTAGGATTCATCCCGGGGATGCAAGGCTGGTTCAACATACGCAAGTACATAAACTTAATTCACCACATAAACAGAACAAAAGACAAAAACCACATGATTATCTCAATTGATGCAGAGAAGGCTTTTGACAAAATTCAACAGCCCTTTATGCTAAAAACCCTCAATAAACTAGGTATTGGTGGAACGTATCTCAAAACAATAAAAGCTATTTACGACAAACCAACAGCCAATATCATACTGAATGGGCAAAAACTGGAAGCATTCCCTTTGAAATCTGGTACTAGACAAGGATGCCCTCTCTCACCACTCCTATTCAATATAGTACTGGAAATTCTAGCCAGAGCAATCAGGCAAGAAAAGGAAATAAAGGGTATCCAAATTGGAAAGGAGGAAATCAAATTTTCTCTATTTGCAGATGACATGATTGTATATCTAGAAGACCCCATCATCTCACCCCCAAATCTCCTGAAACTGATAAACAACTTCAGCAAAGTCTCAGGATACAAAATCAACGTGCAAAAATCACAACCATTCCTCTACACCCATAATAGACTTCAAGAGATCCAAATCAAGAACGAACTGCCATTCACAATTGCTACAAAGAGAATAAAATACCTAGGAATACAAGTAACAAGGAACGTAAAGGACCTCTTCAAGGAGAACTACAAGCCATTGCTCAATGAAATAAGAGAGGATACAAACAGATGGAGAAACATTCCATGTTCATGGTTAGGAAGAATCAACATGTGAAAATGGCCATACTGCCCAAAGTAATTCACAAATTCAATGCTATTCCCATCAAGTTACCAATGACCTTCTTCACAGAACTGGAAAAAAACACCTTAAACTTCATATGGAACCAAAAGAGAACCCGCATAGCCAAGTCAATTCTAAGCAAAAAGAACAAAGCAGGAGCCATCACACTACTGGACTTCAAACTATACTACAAGGCTATAGTAATCAAAACAGCATGGTACTGGTACCAAAACAGAGATATAGACCAATGGAACAAAACAGAGGCCTCAGAGGAAATACAACATACCCACAACCATCTGATCTTTGACAAACCTGATAAAAACAAGCAATGGGGAAAGGATACCCTGTTTAATGAATGGTGTTGGGAAAACTGGCTAGCCATGTGCAGAAAGCAGAAACAGAACCCCTTCCTGACACCTTACACCAAAATTAACTCCAGATGGATTAAAGATTTAAACATCAGACCTAACACCATAAAAACCGTAGAAGATAATCTAGGCAAAACCATTCAGGACATAGGTGTAGGCAAGGACTTCATGACCAAAACGCCAAAAGCAATGGCAACAAAAGCCAAAATAGACAAATGGGACCTAATCAAACTCCACAGCTTCTGCATGACAAAAACAACAGTCAGTAGAGTGAATCTGCAACCCACAGAATGGGAAAAAAAATTTGAAGTCTACCCATCTGACAAGGGGCTGATATCCAGAATTTACAAAGAACTAAAGCAGATCTACAAGAAAAAAAAAACAAACAAGCCCATTCAAAAATTGGCGAAGGATATGAACAGATACTTTACAAAAGAAGACATACAGGAGGCCAACAAACATATGAAAAAATGCTCATCATCACTGGTCATCAGAGAAATGCAAACCAAAACCACATTGTGATACCATCTCACACCAGTTAGAATGGCGATCATTAAAAAATCTGGAAACAACAGATGCTGGAGAGGATGTGGAGAAATAGGAACACTTTTACACTGTTGGTGGGAATGTAAATTAATTCAACCATTGTGGAAGACAGTGTGGCGATTCCTTAAGGACCTAAAAATAGAAATCCCATTTGACCCAGCAATCCCATTACTGGGTATATATCCAAAGGATTATAAATCATTCTACTACAACAACACGTGCACACGAATGCTCATTGCGGCACTGTTTACAATAGCAAAGACCTAGAACCAACTCAAATGCGCATCGATGATAGACTGGATAGGGAAAATGTGGTACATATACAACATGGAATATTACGCAGCCATCAAAAATGATGAGTTCACGTCCTTTGTAGGGACATGCATGAACCTGGAAACCATCATTCTCAGCAAACTGACACAAGAGCAGAAAATCAAACACCGCATGTTCTCACTCATAGGCGGATGTCGAACAATGAGAACACATGGACACAGGGAGGGGAGCACTACACACTGGGGTCCGTTGCGGGAAAATGGGGTAGGGGCGGGGGGCTGGGGAGGTGGGAAGAGATAGCATGGGGAGAAATGACAGATACAGGTGAGGAGACGGAACGCAGCAAACCACACTGTCATGTGTGTACCTATGCAACAATCTTGCATGTTCTTCACATGTACCCCAAAACCTAAAATGCAATAAAAAATAAAAATACAAATAAATAAATAAATAAATAAATAAATAAATAAACACCAGGGGAAAGGTTTCACATTCAGAGACATTAAATGTTAGTACAGAATTAGAAATCTAAACGGTTCTCTGAGGAAACTTGGTGAGGAGGCAGCCCCAGAACATGGCAGGAAGCCAGCCCTCAGCAGCACCTGCACCTGCCAAGAGACAACCCAGTTCACAGGGCTCCTGATGTCCCCTGGTGGTTCCAGGCGCGTGTCCGGGTCCACACGGGCCTTCCCTCACTGTGTCTCTCTCACAGTGATACACGGCGGTGTCCTCTGCTCTCAGGCTGTTCATCTGCAGATACAGCGAGTTCTTGGCGTTGTCTCTGGAGATGGTGAATCGGCCCTTCACGGAGTCTGCATAGCTTGTGCCACTCCCATCAGTACTGATAGCTGAGACCCACTCCAGCCCCTTCCCAGGAGCCTGGCGGACCCAGCTCATGGCATAGCTACTGAAGGTGAATCCAGAGGCTGCACAGGAGAGTCTCAGCGACCCCCTAGGCTGAACCAAGCCTCCCCCAGACTCCACCAGCTGCACCTCACACTGGACACCTGCAAACACAGAGACACCCTGGTCAGAAAGTGCTACAAATATCCACGGTTTATCTCAGTCTTATCACTCACACTCAATTTCAGTAGTTCTCCATGAATTACCTTTTAAAATAGCAACAAGGAAAACCCAGCTCAGTTCATACTTCATGGTGAGTGCTCTGTGTGCCGCCCTGATCAGCAAGCAGAAACACCTGGGAATCCTGGGGCTGGGCTCCTCTCCCAGAGCTGCAGGGTCAGGGATGGGCTGATTTTCATCAGCAGAGCGAGGGCCCTATTTGCATGTCTCTTGCTATATAGCAAGCTGTGGAGTGAGACATGTAAAGAGAAAGCAGGGCCCCGAGCAGATGAGGGTGTCCTGAGGAAAAGTGGTGACAACACTGGGGTTTGAGGAAATGTGCTTATTATTAAGTTGTACTGTGATAGAAACTTTGCACTGATCACCTTATTTCAGTTTTATCTATGCCTATGCGTATAAACTGTTCCGTAGGAGTCAATGTTCTCTATTTACAGATGTGAAAGTAAGCCCACACATGGACGGGCTCCGTATGTATCTCAGAGTTCATGTCTGGGATGAGCAACTGCTGGTATCTGGGCCTATGTTTCTCACCACTGGCCCTGACTCCTCCCTTAGCCAACTCCAGGACAGAGCTGGACATGCCTAGTGTGGTTTGCAGGAGCCACTGCTTGTTCAGAATAGATGTGATTTTGCTGTGTTCTCCTGTTTACCTAAAACTATGGAGAGAACTAGGGTTCAGATAGAACTCTGACAATTAACATACTGGTATCTATCTTTCTGCCACTCCTACCTTGTCTAATATTCAACTTGTTTCATTGTTATAAATGTTATAGGGTTTGATTGACAGATTACACACTTCACATATTTAAAGTATAAAATTGATAATCATGACATAACTATTACCATTATCAAGAAGGTGGACAAGTTAAATTACCTCAACTTTTCTTCTGTCATTTTACATTTTCTTATCCTTTCTCTTTTCCTTCTTCCAACATATTCACAGACAAGTACTAATCTTTTTATTTTTATTTTTATTTTGCTTTTTTTACTACTTTAAGTTCTGGGGTACATGTGCAGATCATGCAGGATTGTTACATAAGTACATACATGGCAAGGTGGTTTGCTGCCTTCCTTCCCCCATTAGCTATATCTGGTATTTCTCCCCACGTTATCCTTTCCCACCCTCCCTACCCCCCGCTGTCCTTTCCCTAATACACCCCAACTGACTGCAGTGTGTGATGCTCCCTTCCTTGTGTCCACATGTTCTAATTGTTCAACACCCGCCTATGAGTGATACAATGCAGTGTTTGATTTTCTGTTCTTGTGTTAGTTTACTGAGAATGATGGTTTCCAGATTCATCCATGGGAAGGACACAAACTCATTGTTTTTATGGCTGCATAGTATTCCATGGTGTATATGTGACACACTTTCTTTATCCAGTCTATTGTTGATAGACATTTGGGTTGGTTCCAGGTCTTTGCTATTGTAAACAGTGCCACAGTGAACATATGTGTGCATGTGTCTTTTTAATAGAAAAGTTTGTAATTCTTTGGGTATATACCCAGTGATGGGGTGGCTGGGTCAAATGGTGTTTTTATTTCTAGGTCCTTGAGGAATTACCACATGGTCTTTGACAATCATTGCACTAATTTGCACTCCCACCAACAGTGGAAAAGTGTTCCTATTTCTCCACATCCTCTCCAGCATTTGTTGTCTCCAGATTTTTTTAATGATCGCCCTTCCAACTGGTGTGAGATGATATTTCAATATGGTTTTGACTTACATTTCTCTAATGACCAGTAATGATGATTATTTTTTCATATGCTTGTTGTCCTCGTAGATGTTTTCTTTTGGAAAGTGTCTGTTCATATTCTTAGCCCACTTTTGAATGGGCTTGTTTTTTGTTTTGTTTTGTTTTGTTTTGTTTTGTTTTGTTTTGTTTTGTTTTCTTGTACATCTGTTTTAGTGCTTTGTATTTTCTGGCTATTAGCACTTTGTCAGATAGGTAGATTGCAACAATTTTTTCCCATTTTGTTGGGTTGCTGGTTCACTCTAATGATTGTTTCCTTTGCTATATAGAAACTCTGGAGTTTAATTTGATCCCATTTGTCTATTTTGGCTTCTGTTGCCATTGCTTTTGGTGTTTATACCCACTGTCCTACCAGACTCACAAAATGAACCTGGTAATTCGTTTGGAATTGTGGAAAACACTCGGTTTCTGCACCTCTCTCGCTGGGAGCTGCTTTCTGGAGCTGCCTCTTATTCAGCCATCTTGGGATCGACCATTCCTTTTCTTTATTATTGGAACAGTCACAAAAATCTTCACTTCCCAAAGTGTCTGTCTGAAAGAATATGAGAGCCCACACTTCTGAAATGTGTCCAAACCCAACTCTTTTATCCCCACTACAGAACTAAGAAATTACTCCACAGGGGAAAACCAATGAAACACATATCCTAAAGGCACTGCTGCAACCTATCAGGAATAGAGATGGAAACAGAGTTCCCCACCAAAGTTTTACTGGGAAGCAGTTCCCCTGCTTCTTATAGAATCAGAGCCTTAGTCTGCAGGGCAGGGCAGTAGATCTGGAAGGTGAGGACACAGGTGAAGAACACGGGAACTGTGAGAGGGAACACCTTGGGGAAACAGGGAGACTCTACCCTAGGAGAAGGGGCAAGAAGACACAGACCAGCATGTCATCTAGAGAAGGGTCAGGAACAATTGCAAGCTCTCACCCAGACACAGGGTCACAAAGCCTTCTTAGTAATATGAACCAAAGGATATGGACCTAGGAATACAGAGCCTTTGGTCTACTGCCTTGCACTGATTTAGAAATTTTCAGTAAATAAAACAAGTTCATGAACTTGAGGGACTTGAAAGAGATTGTCTGAAGGCCAGAATAAGGTGAAGAGACAAAGTCAAGTAGAGAAGACAAGGGAGATACCATTGGAATATCTGTAGTCACTGGTGGACATAGAATAACACACTTCAATTAGTTTTGAAATTTTTATGTCAGTCTTAAGTAATTTTATATAATAAAACAGTCAGCCTCATCAATGGAGTCTTTTATTCCCATCCGGGATGACTATGTGGGCATGTGGTGCAGTTCTGGTCATGAGGACAGGGGAGATGGTCTGTTGAAGTGTTCCTAGTCCTTCAGAGGAAAGTTGCAAAAACGTCTCTTCCCCACTTCCAGCCAATATTTAACACATGTGTGTGACCCTGGGAATGTTGTCACCATTCACAGCATGATGGGTGTCACTTGGGAAGTGAAGCTGGCTTTCTGGATATATCAGTGTGGAAAATTGAGAATAGAAACTGCCTGGGCACATGAGCTGTCAAGTTATTCAATCCTGGAGGCTCTCACATCAGCTCCTTGGATTGGCATCGTGGGCTGATACTGTCTACAGCCTCACCCGGCCTCCTACACAATTTTCTACCTCTTGCCTCTTTCCCAGACTCCACCACCTGCACCTCACCCTAGACACTTACAAACATAGAGACATTTTGGTAAGAAACTGTTGCATATAATCATGTTTTTTCACTCATATCCACTCACACTCAATATCTCTAGTTGTCCATTATTTGCCTTTTAAAATAGCAACAACAAAAACCCAGCTCAGCCCTAACTCTATGGTGAGCTATCTGTGTTCAGAGCTGATCATCAAATGAAAACTCCAGGTAATTCTGAACTGGGGCTCTTCTCCAGAGCTGTGGGTCAGGGCTGGGCTGGTTTTCATCAGGAGGGGAGGGTCCTGTTTGTGTCTCCTCCTCTGTAGCAAACTCTGAGGTGGGCCTTCTGAGGAGAGAGCAAAGCCCAGAGCAGACGTGGGACTCCTGGAGGAGCGTAGTGGTGATGGCAGCATTTGGGAAACATAATTTCTTATTATGTGATTTTCCCATTAAAATTACTAAGCAATGATTATTTGATTTCTATTTTACATACTTGTAAAAACAGAAATGTAACTGTATTGATCAACTTTAAGAGATATGAAGGTAGAAATCGAAAACAATAGAAATGAGGAGACTTCAGCACCTCACCCTCAATAATGTATAGATCATCTGCAAAAAAATTCTTAGTGGGCCAGTGGATTTAACCAACACTATTGAACAAACTGACTTAACAGACATCTACAGAACCTTCCAACCAAGAGCAGTGTAATATGCATCCCAAGCACACAATAAATATTCTTCATAATAGGTTGTATGTTAGATAAAAAATAAATTTCAAAAGTAAAAAAATAATAATGCCAACTGTTCTCTAACTTTTTCAAAAATTGGTGAGGCTCCAACCTTCTAAACTCTATCTAAAAGGCTACAATAACCATATTACCGGTAATCAACAATGGCAAAAGAAGAAAGTTAAACTTTAAATATTCTTAGTATACATAAATAAACTATTCCCAAGTAATAGTCAACTAAGTTCTAGAGGACTTTAAAAGGATCATACACTGACTGGGTGCAGTGAGTCACACCTGTAATCCCAGCTGTTTGGGAGGGTGAGATGACAAACCACCTGAGGTCAGGCATTTAAGACCAGCATGGCCAACATGTTAAACCTCGTCTCTACTAAAAATACAAAAATTAGCCGGGTGTGGTATCACATACCTGTAATCCTAGCTATTTGGGCTGGCTGAGGCAGGAGAATCACTTGAGCCTGGGAGACGGAGGTTGCAGAGAGCCAAGATTGCACCACTGCACTCCAGACTCGGCGACAGAGCAAGACTCAGTCTCAAAAAAAAAAAAAAAAAAAAAAAGAGAGAGAGGGTAATACACCATAGCAAAATTAAACTTATTTTTGAGATGCACAGATGACTCAACATCCTCAAGTCAATACATTTTGTGTGCTTAATTAAGAGAATAAAGAAAAAAATTTCCATTAACTTCTTACTAGACACAGAAAATAACATTTAAAAATCAAGATTTCATAATAGAAATTCTAAAAAGTAGGAACAAATGAATATAACCTGTACAAGATAAAAGTCATTATGAAAAGCCATATCTATCGTCATACTTAATTAATGGTAAAATGTTAAAATATTTTGCTATAGTATCTGTAACAGGCAAGAATAAACTTGAAGGTATTTTACTTCCAGATTTCAAAAATAATTACAAATTAGAGTAATAAAAACAAGATGGGACAGATGTAAGTATCTATTGAGAGTTCAGAAATAACTGATACACCTGAGGGCAATTTGATTCTCAACCTGAGAACCAACAATATACAATGGATAAACTAAAGTCTCTCCCTAAGAGGGTGTTGCCAAAACTGGATTTACACATGCAAAGAGTTAAGAATTTTAGGTTAGAATAAACAAAAAAATCAACTCTAAATGGGCTAAATAGTTAAATGCATAACCTGAGGTTGTACAATTTCCCTCACCGAAAAATAATGTTAACAGAGATTTCCTATGTTTCACATTGAAGGCACGGACAACAAGAGCAGATTTGAATAAGTGGAACTGCATCACAATAGAAAGATTCTGCAAATCATGGAAAAAAATTACAACATACAAAATGGGAGAATATAATTACAACCCATGCATCTGAAACAGTGTTAATATCCAACATATGAATGCAACTTCTACAACTCATTAGCAAAACCATAATTGCCTGGTTGTAGTGTTCAGTTTTATACCTTAAAAAAATTAAGAACATAGATATCATGTTAAAGGTTCTTCTCTATGGATAATGGTTAGTTTTCTAGTACCCGTGGTTAAGATAAACTGTAGTTATTCAATCCAACATTAATATAAGTGATGATGTGAACTTATGTAATAGATGTTATTCAACCTGTCATCAGCTGACTCTAGGTTAGGTAGATTGCCGTTGATAAAATGGTTGGGCCTGATTCCATCAGAGCAGAACTGGAGAAAATGAAATTCCATGGCGATTTGGCAGCTTCACCTCTTTCTGGGACTTCCAGCCTGTAATGACTGATGGATGATCTTATGCACGTTGGATATCCCTAGCCATCTGCAAAAATAGTCATCCCCTATGCCTCACAAAACAGTGGCATGTTCATCTGTAGCTTGTCAACTCTGAATAACAGAGAGAGACTCTAAAATACAACCATATTTATCAAAAAATGGATATCACATTTGAAATATGTGTGGGTGCATTTTGGTTGGTAAAGGAAGATACAGAATGAAGGCAAAATAAGGAGGGTTACAGCAGCTGTTTTGAGATAATTATAATGGGCTAGAAGGGTTAATAACAGGGTTGACATTGGTGTGAGGTTAACAGGCAGTTGCTGGGCAGATACATTTAGAGAAGCAATTCTTTTAAGATTATGGTGGCCTGGGCCAGGTGCAATGGCTCACACCTGTAATCCCTTAATTTTGGGAGGCTGAGTCAGGTGTATCACCTGAGGTCCGTAGTTTAAGGCCAGCCTGACCAACATGGAGAAACCCTGTCCCTACTAAAACTACAAAACTAGCTGGATGTGCTGGCGCATGCCTGTAATCCCAGCTGCTTGGGGCTGAGACAGGAGAATTGCTTGAACCCAGGAGGCAGAGGTTTTGGTGAGCCGAGATTGCACCATTGCAATCCAGCTAGGGCAACATGGGTAAAACTCCATCTCAAAAAAAAAAAAAAAAAAAAAAAGACAAGAAAAGAAAAATAGAAAAGAAAAGATTGTGGTGGCCTCTGTACAAGGTTGTGGCTGTGCAGAGTCTATTTATGGCAGTTCTTGATATCAGGAATATGTGCGTTAGACCCTGCTTCATGGCCTTCCCCAGCTTCATTCATTGGGGTTTTAACACAAGTGGCTCCATTGTGATTGATACATTTCACAAGCTCTTTCTAACACTACTTCAGAAGAAGACGACTCTGACAGTTTGCATAGAACAGAGTTAATTCCACATCCACATCCCATTTTGATCAAATAAGTTCATCCCCTTCACTATTAACGGCCTAATTACTTTCCCAGATGAGTCTACACACAACACAGTGGAGGGTCCTGAGCAAATGGGGAGAGAAGGAAGCCCCATCAGCCTCTCCCACGTGGCTGCAGGAGCCACAGGCTGAGCCCCACCTGCGCTCCAAGAAAATGCCTTGAGCCCTGGAATGGAGACCACAGAGACCATCTTTTTATATGTTAGAAAGCAGGAAAAGCAAACAAGAAAGGAAGAACAAACGCTCCGAAGGAAGAACATGGAGTGGGAGCAAAGGAGCCCCAGGTCACTGCTGATGCGATTGGCTTTAGTGTCAGGACAAAGGTCAGAAGTGAAACCTGTGAGGTTCTGCAAGATGCAGACCCTGGCCCAGCCTCTCTATTGATTCTGGGAATCTCCTTGAGGTTTCTTTCTTCTGTCTGATTGGAGACGACTCATTAGGAACCCCGGAGATTCCTCAGGATTCTGATACTGGTGAACATGATTGAGAACTTTTAATCTCTGTCTGCATCATCTACATTTGGTGCATGTGAGAATAGATTCTCATGTTAAAACAATCTTTTTAAAAAAAGATAGGGATAATATTAGGAAGCACAGAATTCTAAACTTAGAGAGATTCACTAGAGAAACTGTCAGACGAAGAGGAAGTCCCACATTCTGATAGGAAATCAGCCTCCATCTGCACCTGCCTCTGCGGTTGACTCTCATCAGTGGGTCCTGAGCGCCCCCTGCAGCTGATTCCCCCGAGTGTCCCTGCAGGAGGTTTGTGTCTGGGCTCACACTGACTTCTCCTCAGTGTGCCTCTCGCACAGTAATACACGGCCGTGTCCTCGGCTCTCAGGCTGTTCATTTGCAGAAACAGCGAGTTCTTGGCGTTGTCTCTGGAGATGGTGAATCGGCCCTTCACGGCGTCTGCATAGTATGTGCTACCACCAGTACCAATAGCTGAGACCCACTCCAGCGCCTTCCCTGGAGCCTGGCGGACCCAGCTCATGGCATAGCTGCTGAAGGTGAATCCAGAGGCTGCACAGGAGAGTCTCAGGGAGCCCCCAGGCTGAACCAAGCCTCCCCCAGACTCCACCAGCTGCACCTCACACTGGACACCTGCAAACAAAAAGAAACCCTGGTGAGAAAGTGTCACAAATATCCACCAATTATCTCTCTCTTATCACTCACACTCAATTTCAATAGTTCTCCATGAATTACCTTTTAAAATAGCAACAAGGAAAACCCAGCTCAGCCCAAACTCCATGGTGAATCTTCTGTGTTCAGTCGTGATCATCAAATGGAAACACCTGAAAATCCCAGGGCTGGGGCTCCTCTCCCAGACCTGCAGGGTCAGGGCTTGGCTGGTTTTCATCAGCAGAGGAAGGGCTCTATTTGCATGTCTCCTGCTATATAGCAAACTGTGGGCTGAGAGGCCTAAGGAAACAGCAGGGCTCAGATACAGGATAGTGTCCTGGGGAGATTTGTGACGTTGATAGTATTGGGAAATTGTGGTTTTTTATTGTAAGTTGGTTCTGTGATAACCCCTTAAAACCTATAAAACATATATTTTAATTTCTGTTTTAAAACAGTTTTATTGAGGTACAATAGATCTATATAAACCACATATATTTAAAGTTAGCACCAATCATCTTTTATTTTTACATATGCAGTGAGAATATGGTATGTGGTATCAATGTTATTTCCATGTTACAGTTCAAAAGTTATGAGGAAAAGCACAGGTGGGTTGTACAATGTCCCCAGAGCTCACATCTGGTCAGAGTGAGCCTGGGTGTCTGGGCCTGTGCTTCTCACCACTGGACCCAATTCTCCCTGAACCAAGCCCAGCACACAGTGGGTGGCACCTAGTGAAGTTTGCAGAACCTCTTCTTTGTAATGAGAACATGGTGGGATGTGTATTCACTGTTGTGATTACCTGACAAATGTAAAGAAAAGCACGTTTCCTACAGTTGTATTTTCTCGAGTGTCATACATATTTTATATTGGTGTCTATCTTTCCATCAATCTTTATCTAACAAATTACCCATCCACTTATTGGCAATATCCTTATTGAGGCATTATGGCTTTTTAATAAATATTGCATAATTAATGTGTGCAGTTGAATAAGCAGTGAAGCCGAGCGTGGTGGCGCACACCTGTGGTCCCAGCTATGCAGGGAAGAGGAAGGAGGATTGCTGCAGACACAGGGTCTGAGGGTGCAGGAGAGCTATGATCTCACAACTGAGCTACAGCCTGGATGACAAAGCAAGACCATGTCTCCAAAGGAAACATGTCATTTCACTTGTACTCACCTGTGCAGCCAATATAACAATCAAGATACCAATGAATTACACTTAAAAGCTTCCTCCTGTTCCTCTAATTCCTGCCTCTCAGTCATTTCCCTCTCATTATACTGAGACACACTTTCATCTTTGTTACGTTAGATCTATTTTTCAAGATTTGTCAAAGTGAAATCTTGTAGCTTCAATTTCATTTCTGTGGCTTCTTCCTCAGCCTAATTCCTTGTGAGTCAGTAATTTGGTTGTGTATAAAAAATGTGTTGATTCTAATGATCAGCATTGCAGTTAACGACAGCACCCCATTACTTATTTATAAAGCATCACAATATTTGTGTCATTTCTAGTTTGTAATATTAAAAATAAAGTTTATACTCTGTCTGGAAATATAGGCATCCAAGAAAAGTATGTTATTTTTACAAAAACTGACCTTACTGAGCTGCAAATTGACATATTTTCTTTACTACGTCAGATCATTGATGTTATAGGACAAACAAGAGATCTTACATCTTGAGAAACTCAGTGACTTATAAAAACAAACAGAAAGAGAAAACAGAAAGAGAATAGGACCTTATCTGGGGCAGAGTCCAGCATATGTCATATGAGATAAAACAAGATTAAATTGGACGTTTTCTTTAGATTATTTAAAATTTAGTGTAATGAAGTTAATGTTTAAATTCTCAGAGTATGCACAACTGAGGAATTCCTACCGCTACTGAAACCTTTTCTTCCAGGATTGAGGATACGTCACAAAAATCTCCACCCTCTACCTCCCGAGTTGCTTCTGTGTGGGAAACAGAACAGCAGCTGTGGCTGAAATGCATCCAGACCCACCTCCTCTGCCACCACTCCATTACCAAAGAATTCACCTGCAGGTGCAAAGACGCTAATATCTCTGTGTTGCTGGCACTGGAGGAATCATAGAAACTGAGATAGAAGATAAAAAAGCTCCAAAGCGCTGTCCATTCTCCTAGGAATGACAGCCTCATCTCCCACCTCCTCTCATTTCCTCAGGAATAGCAGCCTCGTCTGCTGGAGGGGCAGAAAAGAGAAAGCTGAAGACATCAGTGGGAAGACATAGTGGCTGCTGGAAGATCTGGAAAAACAACAACAACAAGGAGACACTCTCCCCAGCAAAGGGAGGAAGATGCATGGATCAGCACTGCACCTGCAGGAGGCGCAGGGATACTGGAAGGACACACCCTGAGCCAGGACTGTGATGTCTGCCTGGAGTATGGCTCCTCAGAAAAGCAGAGAGTGCCCATTCAGTGCAACCCTTCCCACCTCATTGCCAACTCTCAGGTCCACGTACCTCTGTGATGACCTGGGGGATCTGAAAGACAGAGTCTCTCTGTTTAGCACAGGATTAAGGCCCAAAGCCAAGCAGGAAATAAAATTTAGGTGTCACCAGAGGAATCTGAGTGCCTGGTGTCTGCAAAGGAAACACACTTCCATTCTGGCAGCCACTGCGAACAATGACTTTCAAAGGTATCCCTGATTAGTTTCACACAATTTCCTACAATAAATGCCTAGATAAGATAGGGTGTAATCATCTACAAAAATTGCAAAATTCATAAAACAAATAGTGGACATAAGGAATCTGAGAGAAGTATCCGGGGAACAATAATTTTGAAATAATTTGCCTAAGTACTTTTAAACATTACACTTGATCCCACAGTTAGTCTATGTGTAACTCCGTAAAAAATTGCCAACATGTGTTTAATTTTACTAATACTTTATTAATGTCATGCTTGTGAATGTATAAAAGACCAGAGAGTAGCTTTTCTTAGAAGTTTTGTTAAAAAAATCCAACTTTGCAAAATATTTAGAGAGATTTATTCTGAGCCAAATGTGAGGACCATGCCCTGTGACACAGCCCCAGAAGATCTTGAGTAGGTTATAGGAATCTGTCCTAGTCAGGGGCATCGGAAATTATTTACTGAGGTAACCACATTGAAGTTGAGACTTGATAGATGACAGATTCCTCTCTGAAAACCTTTTCTCTTGACACTAGAAGTAAACTTACCAGAAACAAATGTTAGCATTTCTTCTATGTTCAAAATCGCAACCCATTGGGAAAATAATTAAACTTGGGAGACTTATCTTTATAAACAAATAGTCTAGTAGATTTCTAAAGTCCTTTACAAACCCAACAATTCTGATTAGTTTGCAGATTATGCAGAACATCCCACCTAATAGGAATCTGCAATTAGCTGGATTTCCCTGCATTGGGGTTTTGTAATGTTTAATTTATATAGATACAGAATACTTCAAAATGTGTAAGGAGTATATGTGATATTTTGATAAAAGAATATTATGTGTAGTGATCAAATCTGGATAACTGGAATACCCTTCAGCTCAATAATCGATTATTTCTTTGTGTTAAGAACATTCTAAATCTTGTTTTCTACTTTTTCTGAAATATACACTAAAATATTAACTGTAGTTGTCTATGTGCCATTTTGGAATTTCCACCAGAAAGGAGTGAAAGTTCCTGTTGTTCTGCTTCCTCATTACCATTTGGTACTTTCTATACTGTGTGTTTTACTCATTCTCATAGGCTAGTAGTATTTTTTGAATCTGTCTCGACTGACAACATGGTTTTTGTATTTAGTTTTGCTTATATGATGAATAACATTTACTGATTTGCATATATTGAATCAACCTTGCATCCCAGGGGCAAAGCCTACTTGATATGGTGGATTAGCTTTTAGATGTGCTGCTGTGTTCAGTTTGTCAGTATTTCATTGAGCAAGTTTGCATCAGGAATACTGGCTTAAAGTTATCTTTTCTTTGTTTTTAATTGAGTCTCTTTCAGGATTTGTTATCACAGTACTGTTCCCATAGAATAATTCAGGGAGCAGTCCTTCCTCCTCATTTTTTGAGAATCGTTTCAGTAGGATTGGTGCAACTCTTGTTTATAAATCTGAAAAAAAAAAAATTGCTGTGAATTTTTCTGGTCCATGGCTTTTTCTGTTGTTACCAGCTATCTATCTTGATATCTGACCCCTACCTGAGCCAGTAATAATCACACTAAATTCAGACAAAGCTGAATCCAATCCAATGTTTATTATAGTTCTTAACAACTTTACTGGCTCACTTAGCTTCATGAACATTTTATCACCAAAAACAGTTTCACTGCCAATAATATTTAAGAATTTCTCTTTGAATTTTTTTCATGTATTTTAGTGACACAATTTATTTTAAAACAACATTGACTTGTCTACATGCATAATAATAATTCCTACTATTGTTGAATGGGCCAGCAACCCTCTATTCCTGCTTCTTCCCTCTGCATACCTGAGTGCCTGCAAGACCTCCCTGGATCTCACTTCTCTACTGTAGAGGGAAGCTTTGAGAAATGTCAGATCTACTCAGTCCTAAAAATAGAAAATGCTAATGGAAGCTCTTTTTCCCACTGACATGTTAAGCATGTAATCCAGAGGCTGCATTTATCCCCACACCTGTCCCAGAGCCTCCATTTATGTCACTGCCAATGAATTTTGTGTTATTTTAAACATAATTGTAATAGACAAATAATAATTTTCAATGTTCATGAGTTACACAGTGATGTTTTCATACATATAATGTATAGGGGCCAGATTAGGTTAATTAGCATATCCATCATCTCAATCCTTTTCTTTTTATTGAGAATATTAACATACTTCTTCTAATATTTGAAACTCCATATTATTGTTAACTATATTCATCTTACAGTGGTAAAGGACATTATAATCTATTCCTCCTACCTAACTGAAATGTCGTATTCTATAACAAATCTCTGCCTATCTCCCCCTTTCCACTAACCTTCCCAGCCTATAGAATTCTCTGTTCTACTCTTTACTTCTAGGAGACCTTTTTTATTCTTTATTTTTTTATTTTTATTTTTTTGCTTCCATGTATGAGTGAAAAAACAAGGTCCATTACTTTCTGCTCTGGGCATACTTCATGTAACATAGTGTCTTCCATTTCCATCCTCGTTGCCACAAATAACAGGATTTCATTTATTATGGATGACTAGTATTCACCATGTAT